TCCACGCAATTTTATCGTAATGTAATTAAGTTTAGAGTACTAGTATATTAAAATGTATGCAAATATAATATGTGTTGATAACACAAACTAGTCTTTTTTATTACTTGCATAATTTTTTTTGTCACTGAATAAACTTTCTTGTCACAAATGAAAACGAGTTAAATATAGTTGAATGTAGTTGAATGAACTTTATTGTATATATTATCAACAACAGATTTATGAGATAAAAAAGAGGTCTTGTTTTAAAAGAGGAAATCGAAGAATGAATGACTTCACATAAAAAATCATTCCACTAGTGATTGTTCTGGTGGAATTCGTATATTCTATGAACTTATATATCCCTGTTTTATGTACCAAAAATATTATTTACAGTTAGTCCTGCTACTATCTTCCTAATATTGTTATCTTGATTTTAACTTGAAGGAAAAAATGCAATGGCCTTTTCCGATATTCTTACAATAATGCATTATGTGTGGCAAGGTAAATATTTAATTTTGCTTGATGTGATATGACTTTCAGAGAATTGCTAGGAATAACTAACAATTTTGTAGAGAGTTTACTGTGTATAAGTATTGTAATAAACATTTACAAATAATAGTGTGCTCATCACAGGAAAAAAAGTTTAAACGTTAAAACTGTGGCCCTACATTTTCACTGTAAGAGCACATCTTAATATTTCGTTTTGTAACATTTTAAGCATTTATTATATCACCTTAAAGAAATTATCTAAATAAACTACATAAAAAACAAAGTCATTAGTGCATTTGAATTTTAAGTGCTTCCTTGTAAAAGCTTGTGATGAAATTATATTTGAAAAAAATGTCGTGAACTTAATTTTAGACAATAACTATTAATAATCAGCCACCCCAAAAACATTCAAGTGAGAATATTCACCAGGATTGGAGAAATTAGACAATTACCGTCTGCCATATTGGATCGGCCATATTGAATTTGCAAATTTTAATAGCAGATTATAAATCAGCGACCCCAAAAACCCCCAGGTAGAAGTGCTGATGTAGTTAGATGATTGGCCTTTAGGATTCTTATGTGTTGATCCACTAAATAAGACGTAAATGTCACATGTTTGCGTGGATATACCCATGTATAGAGCTGTACTGACGGTATCTCACTTCTTATCGACTAAGCACCACGAAACAGCACAGGTAACGCTGCACATTCATACAGCTGTGCCATAGCATCCTAACCCCTAGTAGTAGTTTTGAATGTATTTTCAATCACCTTTCATTTAAAAGCTGTTTGTCCTATAAGGAGAGAATCACGTCAACTGTCCCGGCGCCGCGGTGGACGGCCCGCGCGGGCGTCAAACACGACGTTTTCAACTCGTCGTTTCGGTGTCAAAACTTTGATAAAAAAATTATCTAAAAACATATTCTTACGTATTTTTTCCTCAGCTTTCCAGTGGTGGNTTATAAATTATTTATCTTAAATATATACTATGTACGTCATATTCCGCGATTTTATTGCTGGATGGGTAACCTACTGGATAATTTTAACGTTTAAATAAGCAAGTATTACGATTTTTCGACTTTTGGGGTTAGGTAGAAAAAATTTGGGTTCGAAAATTGAAATTCGACTACCACAGATATCTTAAAAATCATCTTACCTTTAAATTTAAAAGAAATTCAGTAAAATCGGTAAAAATAATCGGTATAGTTTTTTACATCTTCTGGTTTTTAGTTTGCAATCAAGGTAAAATATATCGTCAAAACAGAAATCACATTAAAGACACATGTCTTGTTTACCTCATAGATATTGATGACTGGTTTCATTGACAGAAACAGATGTGTAGTCTGTCATGACAGCAGGAGTCTTTTTTGAACTTTCACGCTTTTTTTTACAAAGATCTCTTCCTACATTCTAGAAATTTTATTTACTGATTCTTTAGGAGGATCGGAGGAGACAAACCAGTTGTTGAAATGCACATGTATTTTTTCATCTTGCCAGTCTTTATTTATATTTTTATCATACATATCATCATATACCACCTTTTCGTTGAATGTTACATCCCGATTTTGATAGAATTTTTCTTCTTTAGTGTTAACTACAATATAGTCTGTATTCTTGTAACCTACAAATATAATACGTCCATCAACAAATCAAAATTTAGGGCCTATTTTTCCGTGTGTTTTAATAGAAGCCAAATCCAAAGCGTTCGATTTGACTTATATTGAGAGACCTGTAAGGATTAAACTTTTGTAAAGGTATTTCCATATTGTTTGCTTTGTAAGGTGTACGACTGTATGCATACACTGCTGCTTGGAGCGCAATATCTTAGATACTCAAAGAAAGTTATGCATCTAGTACATACCATTTGATTTTTTTTTTAATTGTCAGATTAAATTTCTCTGCTGTGACATTATGTTCTGGGGTGTCTAGGGTGGCAAGTTGAAGGTGAGCTCCAAACTTGTTAAGGACTTCGATAGTGTGCCCACCTGGTAATTCTGTACCGTAGTCAGACCAAAGATAACAAAATTTTACATGTTTTTTGAGGAGATTTCTAGTACTCCTGATAAAATATTCCAAGCATGACCCTGCTTCTTTTTTATATTTAATGGTATATGCCGTTGCAGGGCGTGAATAATCATCTATGAATACTACAATAAACTTGTATCCCATTGGATGAGATGGGGAATTTTTAACACCCATCGTGTCAGAGTTTACTTTTTACGTTCGGGATCTTGGCTTGTGGAGTGACTTTCAATAATTTTGTGACATGGTCACGTGGTCTTTCTCTCCTACCTCTAGCGGTTGTGAATTGTAACCATACATATACAGTACTATCGCCCAACTAGCCTCTGTACTATATATATGATACACTTATATTCATAATGTAGCCAACACGTGCACACATGTATAACTATGCATGCAGTAACAGCTACTGCAGTTATTCCTTATTCTTACTGTTAATAAGTCCATAGCTATATGGTAAGAAATTCGTAGCAAAAATACTTAAATAAAATATCCTGATACGTCGTTAAAGGCATAATGCAAGGACAATCACATTCAAATATATTTATAGCACCTGTACAACAGTATATGTAACCGTACAGCGTTTGCTCAATTGCACGAAAGCAGAGTACCAGACAGAGCTCGGCTCAGCTATACGACCTTATACAAGTATAGCGGTAGATCCTAGTGAGCTTCAAGGGAGTAAGTAGCAAAATGCAGGACAGTAGCTGACTGGCTGTCACGACCCATAAGATAACCACAGGATTCCACTCGTTTTTTGCTGCAAAATGTATGTATGGATATAGAGACCTTGAAGATTTTGCAACAAATGATGGCAGTTCTGCTGCTCACTCCCTTGTTGCTCACTAGTTGTTCCTTCCTGCAAATAATTTTTCTGTTCGTGAAACGTATCCCTATTCATGCAGCATAAATATTCACGTATTTATTATGCAACCTATTTGATAAAAGAATTGTGATAGTTGTATATTTTATTCATCGTCATGAATTTACAAGAAAAGTTTCGTTGTACAGATGATGAACAAGTGATTTTTAAAATAATTTCATAAATAGGGACAAAGTCGAACAAAACCTATCTTTAGAACCTTATATGTTATGGTACCAAATTTCAACAAGTAATATAAACAATTCTAATTAACCAATAAACGTGAAAATTATTTTTGTTAAATACAATAGTGTTATACACGTGAAAAAATCTTCACTGTTTTAAAGTATTATACTTAATTATTGTATATACAGAAGGTTTGTACACATGAACATAATTCTTAAGCAATAGGTACAATGTTAAATAACTATGTACACTTGGTCTTATAACTTTTTCATGAAAAAAGTAATTTAACAATTAAAAACCATATTTAAAAATAAGAATAATAAGGATAAACTTATTGAGCACCAGTAAAAATCAAAATTTCTACTATTAAAGCTTACAATTAAGGAAAGAAAATTTAAGAAAAAAGTATCATAAAATTTGTAGTCATTATAAAGAAATTTACCTTACTGAACGTCTAATATACAGATTTCTCTCCATGTATCTCTTATCAGCGGTATATTTTTTCCAATTTTATTATCATCATTTACTTTCTTTCAGCTAACAATGTATACTTACATATTTGACAATAAATTATTAGATATATGTCCCAGAAATGTGTGTATGTATGGATGTGTGGGCAGATGGGGTTTGCAGATGCGTGCGTATGCTTTAGCATAAATACGAATGTGTGTATCTATCGACATTATTTCTACAATAGATGTCGTATATCGTTTCACTGTCACATACATGAGACAGCTTTGCTTCTGTCAGGAGTCCCAGGACCCCACACGCTTGATTTCTTTAAAGGACACTTTTTATGAAGTTTCAGCTGATATCCCAGATGAATTCTTGGCATAAGATTGTCTTCTGTAGTTTTTATGGCCTTAAGCATTTTTATCAATACAACATTTAGAATTTAAATAGTAAAAAAATATACACTACGTAGAGAAAAATATATGCAAGTAAAGGAATCTGTCATGCATCTGACAAGAGGTTTTTCCAGTTCAGTTACGTTGGTGACGATGGCCAAGTTCTCTCAAGCCACTAGCATAAGCTATGCATATCGTCAAGTTAGCCGTTTCACGTTGCAGCATAAAAAATACCATGAAAGCTCTCTACCTCTCATGATTAGTCATTAAAGCGTCCTGTTAATTTTTGTTGTTTACTGTCAAAGTAATCTCGTATTTTGTACTTTTAAAGTAATTGTGTACATTCATTGAAACTTTTAAGTTTTTTAATTATGTTTACGCTTCTTTGTTAGTTAATTTGTATTTAATTTACAGTGTTATACAGAAAATTTGAATATTTGGGTTTAAATAATTTGAGTAATACAAATAGTTATTTTAAACGTGATAATTCCTGTAACAATGATGATTCTATTACTGTGTGTATTGTAATTTGCGTAATCTCTTGTATAATATTTACAAAATGTTTTTGTATCTTATTTTATAATAATATTATATTTTGTTCTGGCAAATTGCAGAATTCCACTACACAGGAAATAATGACAACGATAGATGCTGCTTCTTCCTATCAGTCATTCAACCAAACACTGCTGCATATAGACGAAAACATTTTCGGCATGGTATAAGAATAATATTTAACTTGTTACAATTTTTTAAATATTTCTCTACTATTTATTTTAATAGTTATAAGTTTTTTTTCTTTTACTTTTTATTTATAAACAAAATAGTCTTTAAACCAGTCGTTTAAGTGAGTGCTGGTCATTTGGGTATTATATTATTTGAGAATGCAGGTAGAATTTAAATTTTTTTCGGAGAACACTCTATGTCAAAACAAGTTGACTTAGACAATATTTATAGTTACAGTCATTGATTTTTGTTTCAGGAGCAAATAAGATCTTAAATCTCAAACATGGAGTTACCAAGACCTTAGTAGCAAAACTGATAACGTGCTTGCTCGGCAAAAAAGAGATCAAGGTTTGAGGCCTGGTCAGAGGGGTACTTTTATCCATTGCTACATATAACAATCTTTGTAAAATTCAAAAGTTTGAATTGAAAAATGAGTTGCCTGGCCGAAGCTCGGAATGGATAGAAAGTTTTAATGAATTGAATGGCTCGCATGACATGAAATACATGATAATCGATAAATAGACATAATTCTACATATTTGTTTATTTCGTATGTGCATGCGCCAATTTTTTTTCTTTTTCAATCAAAGTGAATTTTTTTTAATTACTACGTATGACAATTTATCAACAAATAAACAATTTTACCAGAACAACGAGTTACCTAGGAAAAATAAGTTATGGTTGAAAACAGTTAAAATAGTTAAGCACTCGTGTTGATACATACTAATTAATGAATTATATTAAATTCTAAAACTCATGTAAATTGTAAATTTACAATTTTTTCTAATTAACCTAGAGTTATGCACTTTACTTAAGGTTTTTGTAGAAGCCAAATGACTATTACAATCGAAACTAATAGTTTTACTAAAAAATCACAACATTTTATGCCGACACCAATCTACAAAGTTACTACATTTAGTACCAAACTATTATGAGCAAGTACAAATACTAGTGTTTAATAATAATTGTAATTAAATGCAATGCTCAATTGTAATAAGCAAAAAAACATTAAATTATTGTAAAATTCAAAAAGTTCTACTCGCCTTATTTTAAACTTATACGTATATGCAAAATAACAACCTTGCATTATTTGTATTAAAACAGATTATTTGACAAAGTTGCTTTTCTGTTAGCCTTCATATTCAAATTGAGGTTGATCATCTCAGTCTATTGATTCATTTAAAAGTGAATACAAATCATCTATTTATTAACTTTATCGGCTAGTAGCCAAGAAGTGACTTCTTTTGTCTACGTGGCCGATAAACCAGAGTAGCCTGAAAGTGACTGAAAAGTAGTAACTTTCTGGTTACGAGCGTTTAAAATCATGTACGCGCCATGGCTCATAAAGTAAAGATGCCTCAGATTATCCGATTACCGGTAGTATCTGGGCGATTTAATGACTTCCTTACTTTACTTGCCTAGGCACGTAATATACTTTATTTCGAATTCCAAGATGGTAAAAAGCTTTATTTAGTATCCAGTCTATGAATTTTCTGTTTTTTTAGATTATCACAACCCATGTGATACGTAAATAAGACATAAAAGCATTGTAATAGTTTGAATCAAGGATGACTTTAATTTTTGTGCTAAACGTAATATGATAATAGCCCAAGTATTCTACCTATACAAAACCTATAGTAAAAACGTACTTTGGTAGATAAACTAGGCCGATACCAGCACACGCCGAATCCAGCACATGCCCCCTCCCTACCTACGTGCGCGATCATGCACGGACAGCCACGACTCTACACGAAGCGCTAGGGGTTGTGCACAGCTTCCTTCTCTCTGGTTGGCTTGTAGAAGAGAGTGTTGTTTTGGGTGTATGGATGAAAGTTCCAACCACATGCTTATCACGTGTGAGGTATAACGAATAAGTGTTACCTCTCCAAGGTAATATAAGTACACATCTACATGTTTATTTACATACATAGATGAATACTTACGTACGATGCATATGTATATATTTTTATAAAGATTTTCAGTTTAAAATGTATAATGTATGATGAGAGTGCGTAGGACAAGGAGTAGATTTTAGTTTTTTAGGAAAATAGTAGTAAATCTTAAGACATTCATTCTTATTTCTAAGAAAATTAATTTTGAACCACAATTTACAAAGTCTGAATAACATTGTCCTTGAATATTTACGTGTACAGCTCTTTATTATCATTACTATCATATTCCTATTCTGTGTATAAGTAGAACTTTTTCATGCGTTTTACATTGTGAAGAGCACACATGGTTTTGTAAGCCTGATTAGGATGAGGGTAACTGGAAACCTGCTTTGGGAGCTCAAACAAAAGATAATCTGTCACATCAGTGACTTTATATCTAAACCTTTTAAGCCACTTTTGTTTTATTTCTGCAATTATAAAAATTTTGGTGGCATCTTTAAGGCTTTCTCATATAATATTCTTAATCTCAGTGTATTTTATATTGCCTGAATTCTGGGCTAGTCCATGGTAGTTAAGTATAAGATATGAATTTTGATCTTCATAGTTCTGTGATGATTTACGCCAAGCAAAGGGTGCTTTGAAAAGATACATTTGTACTTCATCATCGTTTGGATGAAACGGTAGAATAGCTATTTCTTTTAGCACGTAATGATTGCCAGGCTTTCTAAAACCTTACATGTTTGAATGAAACGCTAGAATAGCTATTTCTTTTAGCACGTAATGATTGCCAGGCTTTCTAAAGCCTTACATGTCTACCATATATTCCATTTCATCCTTTTTTCCATGTAAAAACCTTAAATTATTGTTTAAATCGTTTATAATTTTTGAGTTTAGGAAATGATGATTTATGAGTTAAGAGCTTTTCTGTTAAATTTTTCAGTCAAGATTTTTTATTTCTGTCATCATCATCTTCTTTGGTTAAAAGTTTTTGATATTTAACATAGGTAGTGAATTTGCTAATGGTTGGCTTATGAGATATGTTGAATAATAAATATTTTTTGCAGCAAGTTGATTTTTTTATTTTTTTATTTCAAAGGATCTTACAGCATTTGCGATCTTTTGATTTTTGCCTGGCTTCTTTTTCTTTCCATTCCTCAGTGTGTCTCTTCTCACATTTTTTCTACTCTTCTTCCCTTCGGCTATTCTCTTCTTTTTCTCTAGTCCAACTGTTCTGACCTTTTTCCATGGTGGTTAACACATTAACGATGTTTGTAGTTTCATGCATCAGGTTTTATAGCCTCATAAGTTTTTTGATGTCCCTACTCGTGGGATTCTACTGAACGATACGATCGTGTAAAATTAAGCAGTAAGCTGATGTATTATTAGGAAAATTTTCGAGAACTTCGAATTCTAATCGCACATCAATGGGATCATTCTTTAACAACTCATTTTGTCTAGAACAGTCAAGGACAATCGAAGGTACAGCATGTTGAAACTGATATTTGCTTAACAAAGGTGCACGATCTTTACCATAATATGAATTCTGAAAGTTTGCATACATGTCATACAACAATGGAAAATGATTTTTTGTTATATTGATATTGAGATCCCCTTAAGGATAGTATTGTGGATTTAAATACAGTCTTAAATTTCTTATATTACAATAATCAAACTGGCTACCATTATTACCTCTCTGTCTTTTACAATTCGTCTGGAAGGCTAGTATAACACATCGCGGCTTTTTCAAGTGATTGGACGTCTTGACCGTCCATGTATGTTTCGATGTAGTAGGTAAAAGTGAATATTCATAAAGTTCCCAAGTTCGATAGCTCATGGATACAAACTTATGTTTCTGCAAATAATTTAGTAGACGAATTTCATGTGCATCTGATATAACAATGTAAGGCATGAGTCATTCTAGTTTTAATTTTAATATCATGAAGTCTTCCCGAGTTGCCTCTTTATTAGGTTTCGCAGCAGAAATTTCACTTTGTAAAACTGCATTCAAATCACTTCTAGATCTTATGAGAATAAGTTCATGCTTTACATTGACAACTATTTTATGAGAGTCTTCAGAAAAACCAAAAATCATACTGAGAGGAATTAATAGATCAAAGTACCTATTATTACTTGTTAGATTAAGTTCATTTAAAGTACCAAGCCAACCAGCATTTTCAGTTAATACGTCTTGATCAGGATTGAGCGTTAGCCATTTTTTAATGAGAGTTGTCGAACCTACATTTTTACACTTATCTCTCTCTATAGCGTTAGTCTCATATCTTATTTCTTAAAATAGATGAACGATAGCATTGTTTACTAATTTAGTATCTGCAGCCGTCGTAGAACCATCTTCTTTAACTACCCTTCCATGAATATGTAAAGAAATCCAGGATGGTAGCAGTCATATGTCTTGATTTTCAATTGATACACAAATTTCATCACTATTATTAAATGTTGATGATGTATATGGTTGATGAGCATGAATTTCATAGTGCGCAATAGACTCACGAAACGCAACGGAGAACTGAATGCTTAAAATGTCATCCATCTTAACGATAAAACATTTGAACGTTAGTTCACATGTTATATTTTTAAGCCAAGACTTTTAGGAGCTGTATGTTTTAATTTGTCAATTTTTGACGCTTCCATTGTCCTTTTAAACGTCTTGACGATTTGAAAGCTTGCCGTTGACTGAGCGCAGAAGTACATCTCAAGCTGTTTATATACTTTTTATGATTATAAATACTACCCATTATTGTGAAGGTTTAATGTGTAATCTTATCGTTATGACTTCTCCACAAAAATTAATTAAATTACCATCTTGATAAACTACGCGTAGTTGTAAGTGGTCTATGACTCATCCAATGACAGGTAAGTAGATTATTTGTGATGGAATTTCAATAAGTTTATATCCTGGTGGTACCGCAGCAAAAATTTATGAATTGTACGATTTTTTTTTTGTTTATATAAGCTCTACTAGTAATACTGCAATTAAATCGTAATACGTTAATCTTACGAATGGTTACAGATGAGTCAGAGTCATGAGTAAAGTTATCTTGTAGTAATCGTTCAGTAAAACCTAGTAGTCACCCTATAAAATCT